GGGGGGGGGGGGTTTGATCTACGCCCCTCCCATGCTCCTTCCACCACAACAGATTGCTGAGCTCTGCTTCTTGCCACCTATGTGTTGCTCTGCGGCTGCATACACCCGGTTATTTATTGGCCAAATCATTGGCCACATCGGGCCGATTTTCAGATGCAGCCAGTTTTCTCTGTATTGGTGCTGATCTGATATTGGACCAATGAATTGGTGCACCTCTGGTAGAATATGTTGGTAAAGAGCTCTTGTAACTTACTTAAAAGAAACTCTTTTTTTCATTTTCTACAGAAAAAAGCAGTCATTGACTTCAAATCCAATGGTCATATTTATGATAACAGAATTGTTTTGAATGGCATTGATCTGAAGGCATTTCTTGATAGTTTGCCTGATGTCAAAATTGTTAAGGTAAGAATTGTGCTTCTATGTATTTTGTCTCAGTGGACTGAGCACAGTGTTTTCTCTCTAATGAATCATGCTTGATTTCCCTTAGATGAAATGTCCTGATAGTGGAGACAACGCAGATAGCAGTGCAGCTCTCAGTATGCCAGTCATTCCTATGAACACAATTGCAGAAGCTGTGATTGAGATGATTAATCGTGGACAAATTCAGATAACAATCAATGGATTCAATATTAGCAATGGACTAGCCACTACACAGGTGAGGCAAAGAAAGTCACTACCTTTTTCCCATTAAATCTTTTGTTAAAACGTCATTATGAGAAAAGAGCCCAGGCTCCAGACTAATGTCTTCATGACTCCCTTTAAGAAAATAAATTATTGGGGTGTACAGATATAAAGAAAATTTGCTGTATCAGATATTGGCCTGATGGGGCCGATAATGTGGTCAATAAATGCTCATGCTGCGCACAGCCGCAGCACTCGGGTAGCGAGGAGTGCAGCTGGCAGTGAGGAGAGCTGCTTCCAGCTGGCCAGTCCATTGTGGTAGAATGGGAAGGGGGGAAGGGACATGGGGGGTGGGGGAGTGGCGCGGCGTGCAGATCAGCGCCCCCCATAGTTTCATAGTTTCTAGGGTCAGAAGGGACCTG